AACCCTACCCCCAAAATACCCAGTTAAGTGAAACCCCACCCTCCGCCATTGTGCAGCAACCAGAAGATGACATGACTGCATTTGAATAAAATGTAGATTGTTGTACATGGAAAAAATAAAACCTTCCCTGAAAATAAGCCCTAATGTGTTATTTGGAGCAAAAATTAATATAAGACCCTGTCTTATTTTCAGGGAAACACAGCAGGAGAAAAGTACACCTAATCAAAAAGCCTTTTAATATACCTTTTGCAGTTGCGTGCTCTAAGCTGAGCCTGAGCAGACTTCAGGACTGTGGGATCAACTTTTATTTTTTTATTAGTATTTTACTAGTGTCTCAGGCCACCAACCAGAAAGCAACTGATGTGAATTGGTAGCTAGGACAGTGGAAAGATTTGCTTCAGATGTGTTTGGGGTATGTTTTTTGTTTGCCAGTTCTTAGAGTGGTATTTGTTTGATCTATCAATGAAACCCCAGGTAGCATCTGTGGTCCGATTCACCTACTTCCACCTAAAGCAAATTGCCCAGCTGCATCCCTAACTTGACGCCAGGTTCCTCACCACACTGGCCCATGTGTTCACAGTCTTGAGATTAGACTACTACAATGCTCTGTACGTGGGTCTGCCCTTGGGACTGCTATGGAGACTGCAACAGATCCAGAATGCGGCAGCGACTACTGAGTGGGGTTAGAAAATACCAATACTGTATCTCCTCCACATTGGCTGCCTTACACTGGTTACTTGTTTGCTTCAGTTCCAGCTTCAAAGTGATGGTATTAACCTATAAGGCTCTAAATCAGTGACGGCGAACCTATGGCGCACGTCCTACAGCTGGAACACACAGCCCTCTCTGTGGGTACGCAAGCCATAAGTTGTCATTGAGAAATACTTACCCATCCTCCAATCCTGGATTTCGGCATTCCCCTCTGCTGGTGCAGTGGTCCAGTGGAGGGCTGCAATGGCATCCATTACTAGTCTAGCCCAATGGGGGATTAGAGGACCAGTAATTTTATCTCTTGTTAATACCTCCCCTAGAAAAAACACAAGCATTTAACCCTTGCAGTGCAAAAGAAGTTATTCTTTTCTAAACTAAAACCTCAATATTCGGGTTTAATTGCAGTGTTCGCACTTTGAAACAAGTAAGTTGGTTTTGTGTTGCAGTTTAGGCACTTGGGCTCAAAAAGATTCACCATCACTGTCCTAAATGGTTTGGGATCTCGATATCTAGCCAAGTACCTCCTTCCTGTCAGGTCTGCCCACCCAGTAAAATCATCGCAGGCAGGGTGGCTGAAAGTTCTGACCCCGAGAGCAGCCCAGAAAACAAGTACTGTACCAGAAATCGGCCCTTCTTGGCAGTAGCTCTGCAACTGTGGAATACCCTCTAGCCCAAAGTTTGCCTGGCCCCCTCGCTAGGCACTCTTTAAAAACTACTAAAAACCTAGTTATTTAGACAGGCCTTTCCAGATCGAATAACATCCTGATGCAATGGTGCTTCTGATATAATATCTAATTTACCATCATGTTTTCATGCTATTTATTTTATTGTATTTTATTATGCTTCCTATTGTATTTTATGGTATTTTGTTTTGCATTCTTATAATTTATTGATGTCATTATGTTTTATGATTCTATCCTTCTTACTGTTTAGTTGCTGTAAACTGCCCAGAGTGGCCTTGGCTGCCAGATGGACAGTATAGAAATCAAATAAATCAAATAAATAAGCAAACTTCAGCTTAGAAGTGGAATGAATGAACGAACAAACGAACAAACGAACAAACAAACAAACAAACAAACAAACAAACAAACAAACAAATAAATAAATAAATAAATAAATAAATAAATAAATAAATAAATAAATAAATAAATAAGAGCTAGATGCTGCATTCCACAAGCTATATATTTGGATGACTTTCCTATGGAAGAATATATATACAGATCGGGGGATTTGAGCTGCCTAATTTAGAAGACAGGGAGAAAAAAGTTTTGTAGTGAATGTTAAATCATCAGAGGTCTTTGCCAACTTACTGCAAATCAACAGAGATTTCTCAGTGGATCTTCAGTGACTTTTGTTTAAATTGCATCTAGTCACCTTTGTGTTCTCTTTTAAGATTGTGGCCTTTTGCCCTTGGGTTTTCATTGTTTCCTAAAGGCCCTGAAAGAAGAGCAGTGCAGTCCGCAAAGGGTGTGCCCCCAATCTGCCAGCGCAGATGTTCTTTGGCATCAGTCCTGTGTCAACCACAAAGGCCCTTAGTACGGAGCTAATTCTCAGTGGGCCAGGATCTTGACAGAACAGCATTAATGGGCTTTTGTGTAACTGGGAATTCAGCCGGTGATTACAGATGGATTGCTCAAAATGAGAGGTCACCAGTCAGTCAACAAACATGCAACCCAACTGACTCACTCCTCAGAGTGGCTCCTTTTACAGCAAACTGCCAATTGCAATGTATTTTTTAAGAACTCTGTTGATAAACTAGTTTTGTAACCCTGTTATGAAATAAAATGGCTTCACCTCCATGAATATACAACCAAACTATTAATCAGAAGCTTCCAGGTAGTAGAAGTGGATCTCTTAAAAAATGAGATTAAAATATGAATTTCCCCCTTGAGTTCTTGAATGTAACAGAAACCCACAAAGCAGGGCTAGATTTATGGGTAGGAGATGTTGTGAGCTGTAAGGCTGATTGGGGGAGGGGAATAGATGGGGGGCAGGCACATGCTATTTGCTCAAACTATTCATGCAAGGGGGAGCACTGAATCAAATAGTACAAGCAGTTGAGACATGTAAATCTGAAGTGGCAACTTTTGTGGCTAGCACTGTGTTAACTTTTTTGTAATTCGGGGCGGGGGGAATACATCGATACCCAAACAATGAGCATGAGGGCATTTCTGATCAGACCCATGCTTGTCAAATTATCATCTTATATGATAAAGCATGCATTCAATTCTGCTCTGAAGTTGTGAAATGGGACTCCCCAATAAATGAGAAAACAATAAAGCCTGATGTTAATAATAAAGCCAGTCTAATTTAATGGCTAGAGTGCTGGACCATGATTCACGAGACCTGGGTTCAAATCCCCAGTTGGCCATGGGAATTCACTGGCAGGTGTCAATGGTAAACTACTCCTTGTGACAACAACAAACTCAATTAAAAGGGGGGGGATACTGAAGACTTCCTTTATCTGGAGTGTCCTTTGGTCCAGGACCACCTTGAACCTTGAATATATATACCAAGAATGCAGCTACATTCATCTAGTTATCTGGCTGACTGTAAACTTATTTTCCCTTCCTGCTCCTCGAAAATGGCCAGATGACCTTCATTTCAGTGCTCTGTCACCATTATCAGGCGTGGAAAAACTTTCCCCAGTCCAAGTGTTTTGGACTTCAATTCCCAAAAGCCCCATTCATTTTAACCAACAGCAAGGAAGTGTGGGAATTTAGGTCCAAATCTCAAAATATCCTCAGTCCAGTTAAGTGATATGACAAGCCTCTAGCTTTCAAGTTTATGAAAATTCTGCATAACAATTCAGAGACTCACGATGGGCAGTTCTTATGCCATGAAATTTACTAACCAGTCAATCCTGAGGATGTTCACATTATTCTTTCTGTATTCCAGATATGTAATTGTTTCCTATGTAACATTATTTATGGAAGGAACCACTGACTCTTATGAAATATAGCTCTCTCCAGTTCCCTCCGGCAGTTTGAATACATCTCCGTATATTCTCAGCACTCAGCATGCATGGTCTCTGACCTCTCAGAGGGAAAAGACTTAGACAAGATGACCATTCTTCTAATGCTGGTCTATCACAGGAGAAAGCATGCAGATGATAAAATACTGGAAGATTAACAGCAGGAATGAACCAGAGAAAAGGCTGAGAACCTCAGGTCCTTAAAGATGGAAGCAGTCAACAAACAGGCCAGAGAGGCGCTGAACAACAGTTGCGCTTACCATAAAGCAGCAATAGATTAATATGTCTCTATTAAAGGCAGAACTATTAAAGACTGAAGCCATGGTAAAGCGGAAATAGTCATGACTGAGCTGAAGTCCAGGGTCATCACGTTTTCCCTGAGTCAGCAGGAGCGCCCCTCTGATGTATTTCACCTACAAATCCTACTTGTCCCTATAGCTAGTAGTGAGGGGTCACGTTCTGCAGCCCCAAAACATCTGATCACCTTGGTAGAGACTATGATGAAGACAACCTGGGTTCAAATCCTTCTTGCTCGGGTATGTTCCTGTGCCTCAGATCCATTTTCTCTCAATCCCAATCCCGCCTGACCGACCCTGGCTAGTTGTTGCCCCAAGGAGCAAACACCACCGGGAGGCCACTGTTGTGTCTTGACTTGACCTCTGCGGACGAAGGTGAGGCAAACAGGAACGTAAACCAGCCTTTTCTTTCTTTGTTTGTTTGTTTTTTTTGACGCCAGAGAGCACCTCCAGCAGCTCCGACGATGGAACGAGTGCCTCTGAGCTTAGGCAGAGTGCCTCTCCCTTCCCTCCTCTCAGGGCGCGCTCTCTCCAACGCATTTCCTCGGAGGCGCAACCCCGGTCCTGGCGACTGCAGCGTGCTGCCCGTCCAGGAGGAGAAAGAGCAGAGGCGCAAGCGGGGAGGGGGGGCGGCGGGAGAGAAGTTTCCACACGAGAAGCACGCCCCCCCCTTCGAGAAAGGGCCCACGGTTGCCGGTGAGGGGGAGGAGGGAAAAGGGGGGGGAGAGCCTGGCAAACAGGAACGTAAACCAGCCTTTTCTTTCTTTGTTTGTTTGTTTTTTTTGACGCCAGAGAGCACCTCCAGCAGCTCCGACGATGGAACGAGTGCCTCTGAGCTTAGGCAGAGTGCCTCTCCCTTCCCTCCTCTCAGGGCGCGCTCTCTCCAACACATTTCCTCGGAGGCGCAACCCCGGTCCTGGCGACTGCAGGGTGCTGCCCGTCCAGGAGGAGAAAGAGCAGAGGCGCAAGCGGGGGGCGGCGGCGGCCATTGGTTTGTCCTGGCAGCGGAGGCTGGGCTAGGCACGGCCCGGGGAGTGGGAGGGAAAGTTGTTGCCTTGCGCCATGCAGTTCTCACTCGGCGTCCCAGTTTACACGGGACCGGTTGAGGGGAGAGGCCCCGGCGGAGGAAGGGTCGGCCAGGTAAGCGGATGCTGCACGGCCACGATCCTGGAGGAAAGGAAGGCGGCGGGCGGCCACCTCAGTGAAGGTTTAGGAAGCGAGCATCCCGCTCCCGCCCACGCGGGGAGCGCAGGGAAAGGAAGGGATCCGGCTTTGATGCCCGGAGGACCCGATCCTCCACCTCGTTTTGCAGCCGGCGCGGGGGACGCTCGGCCCGGGCAGTTCCACCCCGTGCCCCTTTTCCTGAGAAGGAAAGCTCCCCCCGGAGTGGCGTGGGATTTCCTCTCCAGGGGATCTGGACACGAGCACCCGTGTTCCGGGTGGGCATCTCCAAGGAGGAGGGAAGAAAAAGTTGAAAGGGGAGGAGATAAGACAAAAACATAGCAGGGGCTTTCCTCTCGCACGGGAGTTGTGGAAAGTTCGGGCTCAGAAAGTAGTAGAAAGAAGCGCAAGTTCGGCATTCGCATTCAATTCCTGCTCGTGTCCACCTGCAGCCACACTCCGAAAAGGATGGGAGAAATTCAGCGTTTACTGGGTGGAAGAGCGACGGGGCGGCTGTGTTACAAAAACCTGATCATGAAGTGCGTGTTTCTGAAGGGTGAACATTTTTAGGTGGGCAGGAAAAAGATGGTGGCGGGGAAGAGAAATAGGGAAGAACTCTTTAGTGATGTCTTTACCCCCATGATGTTTCCAACAGAGGACAACCAGGTGTACCTGGCAGGGAGCAGAAGGGATGGCAGTCCTCTGTTGGCCCTCCTCAGGATCTAGCATTCAGATACAGGCTAGGTACTTTTGATATATGGGTGCATTTTTATTAGGTAGAAGCACCCCTCCCCCATATCTTTCTCTTTTAATATATAAGAGACAGAGAAGAGGAAGGCAAGCGTGAACCTCTAGGGTCAACTATATTCCTCAAAAGTTGGAAGACCTGTAGAAACTGGTAACATAACGGTCTTGCCCTGCCTGCTCCGCAAGGTAGGAAAAGCAAAGACAAGCTGCAGCTCACTTTTTCACAACTAGGCAAGCTCGATCGTATCTACAGTCCAGTAACAGCATCGGAAAAAAGATAGGGAACCTCCCCTTTGACTGACTGAGAAGCCGAATCATTTTTTACTTTTTTTTGCATTCAGATGGGCAAATTTTTCCATTGTCTCATAACCATTTCTGAAAAGGACAGGGGAAGCCCCCCAACCCCACTGTTTGAAGAAAGTCAAGTCAAGCTTGAACCATCTTTTCCGCAGTCGGACTCCTCAGCAGTTCAGCTGATGGGGAAATTTATTAGGTGGGCATTTTTTGGCGTGGGAGAGATGCACTCAGGGCGGGGGGGGGGGATGATTCTGAAGAAAGCCACTCTGAGAAGGGAAAAGGGGCTTCACGAGGTGCAGACTTGTGAGTTCTCATCCTCCCTTTTAACTCCTTCTTCCAGGAGGGGCTGAATGTGAGAAGCAAAGAACGGCAGACTTGAGCATCCCTGAAGATCGCCTGGAGAGCACAAGAAGGAGCTCCTTGAGGTCTTCAGCAGGTCCTTCTCCACATCCAAGGCGTTCTGCCTGCTGCCAAGGAAGGGGAAAGGTTTCTTTGCTCCCCACTTTCTCAGGAACGTTGAATGCACCAGGAAGGGTTTGCTTTCTTCTGTCCTCCAGCGTAACAGAGGTGTCAGCTTTGCAGGACGTCGAGGGGGAAGAAAGTGCTCAGTGGGACCAGCAGCAGCTCTGCAAGTGCCACAACCGAGCAGCTCCTGGCAGAGGCGGGGATGCTGGGGTGCTGTCTGTGGGGCTCGGCACCCCCCACGCCAACTGGGGAAAGGAAAGGGGCTGGGTGGCTGGAGTTGCTGCTCCTGCTCCTGCTCATCCTCTCAGGCTGGGTTTTGACCCAGCAGCCTGTCGGTTGCCCCGCGTTGTGTGAGTGTTCGAAAGGGAACAGGACGGTGGAGTGCATCAACAAAAATCTGACCAAGGTCCCGCCGGACCTGCCTCACTATGTGCAGAGCCTCTTCCTCATGGGCAACCGCATCAGCAACCTCTCTTCCAGGTCTTTCCTCTCCCAGCCCCTGCTGGAACTCAGTAACCTCAACCTGAGTGGCAATCGGCTAGAGCTGGTGGAGGCGGAGGCATTTGCCAGGTTGCCGAACTTGAAGCAGCTTGATCTCAGTGACAGTTCTCTCCTGTGGGTCAGCCCCATGGCCTTCGGGAACACCAGCAGCCCTCTAGAGGAGCTGAAATTGAGCAACTCCCTTTATAACTACAGCTTTGTCACCATCCTAGCAGAGCTGCTTCAGAGGGGGACACTTCAGAACCTGAAGCGCCTAGACCTGTCCAACAATAATCTGGTTTACCTCCCTCCTGGCATCTTCTCCAGGCTGCCCAATTTGCAGCAACTGGACCTGCACAACAATTCCTTGGTGAGTTTGCACAATGTGTCCTTCGGGGGCCTTCATCAGCTGCAGCACTTTGACCTTGGCGATAACGCCCTCAAGCGCCTGAGGAACAACACCCTGTTGCAGTTCCGCAGCCTCCCCTGGCTCACCAGCCTCGTCCTCAGCCACAACACCTGGGTCTGCGACTGCGGCATTGAGGACTTGGCAAACTGGCTGAAGGAGAGTGATCAGGTGGAGGCCAAAGACGCCCTCATGTGCTCCGATCCTGAGGAGAAGCGGAACAGCTCCTTGGTGGCCCTTGACATCTCAGACCTCAACTGCCCAGAGACGGCAGATGACCAGACCCAGTTGCAGACTTCTTATGTTTTCCTCGGGATAGTCTTGGCCCTCATTGGTGTCATTTTCCTCCTGGTTTTATACTTGAACCGAAAAGGGATCAAAAAATGGATGTACAATATCAGGGATGCCTGTAGAGATCACATGGAGGGATACCACTACAGGTATGAGATCAACGCTGATCCCCGGCTGACGCACCTCAGCTCCAATTCTGATGTCTGAAGAAGCCCTATGGGGAAAGCAGGCTGAGCACACAATAGCTATGCATGACATATAAGCTCTTAGCTTTCTCCCCCATCCACATGCTTGCTGCCTCTCATCATCCCTTACTGGCATCACAGAACTTAACTGTGCCATGCAGGGAATTATGGCTACCTGCACTGCAAAAAAAAATTGCATTATTATTGCTATTATTATCACAATTATAATTGCCCACAGTCAGTTGTGCATGGTACCAGGCCGTAAGTTTTTAAAAACACCCCCAAAACATGTTGCACTTTTCTTGCCTGTTCACTTTGCACCTTGCTACCAGTCCTTGCTTGGAGATTTCACAGTGTCTAAAAATAAATAAAGGGACATTTTCCCTCCCCCACTACTCCATGCTCTGTGTCCCCAAACTATGAGGGCATTTTAAGAAATATGATTCAAAAAAGGCTGCCTCAGGTTTGTGAGGAGAAATATTCTGTCCATCAATACCAATTTTGGTTTTCACGCACTCTAATTGTGAAGAATTCTGTACACTATATTCATATTTAGAACATTTGCAGAAGTTTTTTGTACAAAACAGATGCAAGCATGCAAATACTTTGTGATTTTACATGGTGTAGGGAAAAACTGAAAACTCAGTTCTATTGTTTGTAAAAGGTACAGCAGTTTACAATTTACATAACAAGGTTTTTGAATAATAAATCGTATCAACTCCACATGAAATGAATTTCAAGTGTTAAGTAATTTAATAAATATTCTTATAAGAACATCTGTATTGGATTGCTGAAGTCTACTGTTAAAATATTCTAATCTGAAAGCTAAGCACAACCTAGGATAAATATTGCTTCCATTTTTCTTAGTGTAAAATATGGCAGAAGCAAAATCCTTCCATTTATTTGACTGAAAGTATTTTCATCAATATGATTATCTTTGAGAGACTAAGAATATACAGGACAATTTGCACTTATTAGATTGCACATGAATGACCACCTCTTTCATTATACAATGTCCTTTTTCATATCCAGTTCTTAACAGTGATGGATCTTGAACTGTCATAAGCATGTGAGATTGCCTTTACAATTTCAAATCTGTGATTTGTAAAACAGTTATTGAAAATGATGGACTAGTAATGGGTGCTATTTGTGGGTGCAACTTTTCAAAATGGGTACATCTGTTCCAAAGTAAGTTCCAGTGAGTTCAGCAGCGCTTGTTGCCAGGTACGTACAAATAATCTTAAAGTCTAATGGATTTCAGTGGGAGACAATCAGGCACATGTTTAATCCTCTCCTGTTGAAATCATTTGGCCTTAAACATGCTTAACTTTGTCCAGATGATGCCTAACATGTCTAAGCTTGAGGCTGTACTTATAAGCACACATATAGTAAGCACGCATATACTGTAGCTTCGTTTTTTCCCCCTGTGTTTCCTCAGAAGTAACTTTGACTGAAAACAATGGCTTACTTCCAAGATATACATGGAATTGTAGCCAGATTAGAAGATAAATTGAAATCAACGTGTTTTTGGCCTTGATTTTCACAAATAAGATTGAGTGGTCAATAAGGTCTGAAGTGGACCGGTTTAAAAGGCAGTTTACCACCTCTTCTAATCTTTGTGAACATGGGACATTATGAATAAATGTGTTATGGGTTGTTGTTTTTTTGGATGGATAATTGCTTGTAACTTGAATGTCGGTATACAGACAATATTGAAAAGGACAGATCTTCAGATCTATGTAAATACGTGCAATGTTTTGTACAGAGATTCTCTACTTGAAATATTGTATGGATATATCATGTGGATATGCTTTATGCTTTTAACCTGTGCATGGCTTTGGTTGTATACATGACTTGTGATACGCACTTTTTAAAGAGAACATGTTCTGAAAAATCACAATATAACGTTTACCTAAGTTTCTTCAAGTTTGAAGCAAACTGGAATGCATAAAACATGATGCTAATCTGCATATCAGCTCTTGCCAGAATTCTAATAGATGAGCTCAATTTAAGCTAAGCTAATTTTGTTTGTTCTTATAACCTGTGCACTAGGTCCCATACTAGGTTTTGCTTGTGAAATCTTATTATTTCAGTCTGTTAAAACACAAATGACATACTGTAGTTAATGCCTTAGCAGAGCAATCCAATGCATGCATTTGTGAGGAAAACTCCCAACACATTCAGTGGCATTATTGCCTGTGCAGCCTATGCATTGAGACTGTAACCCAGCTATCACCATTCAAAATTCTGCCGAGCTTAATTTTATAGCTGTCATCATTTCCAATGCTCATCAAGTGTCCCATCTCATTTTAGGGAAAGTTAAGTCTTTTTTCTCCTTTTTTAAAAAAAATTGCCTAGAAACTAATATATTAAAGGCAACCCCGTATTTTAAGGACCAAGGTGAAATGTCTGTTTCTGCTAGACATTTGTTTTCATTTTAGGGATACACTTATTCTAACTGTAATTCCTTTCTTCTGGTCCTAGTTTAGATATCATTTGATATGGGCAGCTGCATGTGCAAACACAGCTGACATAAATTAGAAATAATGTTATGAATAGTGTAATTGTAGATGAAATTAGAAAAAATGAGACTTCATTTTTTAAAAATCTGCACTCATAAATCCAGGATTATCATCATCATCATTATTATTAATTTTTGTGCTTCTTGATCAGACCCTGCACAGACGTTATCTGTTCCTAAGAGCGCTTGGCACCCTAGGGTTTCATCTCCATGGCTTGCTCTCTTAAGCAATACTGCGATGTAAAGTTCAGATTGTCCGATGTAAAACATGTACCAGCTAACCGAATGCATCTTTGAGCAGATGTTAACAATAAATGCAGTGAAATATTCACCTGTTCAGTGGACGCTTTGAATAACGTTGCATGCCGTAACACGTGTGTGTAATTTGGAAAGGTTTGAATTAAATCGTCCTTTATAAAAACCCTGAGCAAATTTATCATTTCTAACTAATACATATGTTATACATATATCTGTAAGAATGAAATGTGAACAGCTACCTGACATGAACCTAAATTGAATTGTAATGTTAGTTTTACTTAAAATAACATTCACTTTTGTTGCAGAACCACGTCTTGGCCAGTGGTTTCCCCTACATTCCTTAACACGGCACTTGTCGAGTTTTCAGAATGTACATGCACCGAATTGTCTTATAAATAATCAGTAGAATGATATTTATAGACCTTAATATATATTTTTATAGAGTAATGAAGAGCAGTTTGTTATCTTAACTGTGGAACAGAATGACAGTCTACAGAAAACAATCCAAGAGCAGCTGAAAAATTGTTTATAGTGCTTCCTGAAACCACAGTTGGGAAAAAAAATGATTTGTCGGTTTCTCTTGGAGCTGGTTCCACTGCTACAGCCATTCAGCATATTGTGAAACTTTGATGGGTGATGGAGTTTAATGGGATTTATAAGGTGTGTAATATTAAATGAGCAAGGAAGATTCTTGAAAGGTTCTTTGAAGAGTTCTCATGTCAGTTTATCCGCATGAAATAATTTAAAGATACCAGTTAATTTGGAATTGTCAGGTGCAAATTCCTGCGGACTTGGATAGCATCAGAAGTTTTAGGTCGTTGCTCTGATGTTTGTTCAGTCTTAAGATGACTTGTTATAGCCTGACAGGAGAATCATACCATTGTAGAGCTACAAACCATATTTCAGGTCAGCTCAACCCTTGGTTGGTAACAAGTTGTATGCAGTTTTTCAGGACCAATAAAGGTATTTGCCAAATACTGTAGTTGTTTATATTGTCAGAAATATTTTTGGAACTTTCTATGTTCAAACAGCCTTTCCGTGACCCATGGGCTCTTTGGATGGTGTAACAGTTCAGGTGACATCCCACAATTAGCAGAAGCCACATGGATATGCGTCACTCCACTAAAATGTCCTTTCTGCACAGATACAAAAGTACAGAACAATCTGGGGTGGGGAGGGGGGAAGCTGGCCACTAGCAACCCTTGGAGGCTTTTGCCATATCTTTGCTCTGCTCTGCTCTCCCCGCCTTATGAGTGATCTTCTGTCAAACTGACTGACATAGGAAGGAGGGCATGCTTTTATGTGGCTCCAGTTGCGTTGTGCTACTTGAATCTTTATTTAAAACAAAACTAGAAGATGCTGTTTATATGTGTGTGAAAATTTGTTAGATACTTGAAAATACTGGGGGTTGGGGGGAGATTAGAAGCTAAATATAACTTGGGTTGATCCCACAGATTTACCCCTGTGCCAGATTCAAATTCTAGAGGGAAGGAAATGTGATCTTAATCGAATCCACCATGTCCTTCCATTCCCATTGTCCAGATTTAATTACGTTGTGCGTCCCTTATAGCCTTATAAAACAGGAGCTGAGAGGGAAGGCATAAAAGGCATTGGGAAAAGCCTTAAATTGAGTTAGACCGTTGGGTTCATCTAGCTCTATATTTTCTGCACCAAACTGGACAACTGTGGTCCTCCAGATGTTTTTGAACTGCAGTAACCTCTCTTATTAGCTCTCCTATCTGGAGCAGCTGGGAGCTGCAGAACAAGACACCTGAAGGTAATATGGCCCATCCTGGTCTGTACAGGCACTGCTCTCTCTTTCTCTCCACAAGGCTGCACACATGATGGGGTTTGTTTGGGGTTTTTTTGAGCCATACAATTGCCAAAGGCTACACCTCAGACCTTCAGCATCCAAAGCACCTGCACTTCCTGTGGAGCTACAGCCCTTTGCCAGCCTTTACACATCTGTAATTGGATCACTGACTATGATCTGCTCCTCCACAATCCCAGTCTAGTAGGTTTATTTCCCAGATGCTAATAGTAAACCCACCCACCCCTTAGTACTTGGGTTATTACTTTATCAATGCTGAATATCCTAGATATTGAAGGAAAAAGCTACAGTGATTATGCTGACATCTTTATTCTGCCTTAGAGATTTCTGGCTGTCTTTCACCCACACTCATGTACAATGACTTTTTTTTATTACTTGAAGAAGCGAAGTCCTTGTGGCAGGTCTCATTACGATCAATCCAATATGAAATTTCTCTGTTTATTTTTCTTTACCTTCAGTCCGGAAGTTGATAACCCCTGCAATGCTCTTCCCAGATCTCTTGCTAATGAACTGGATCAGCCGTCCGTTTGTCTGCTGTTAGATGTTGATGCCTTTTGTTTTAATTTCCTCTTAAGTTGTGACATACATTAGTCAAAGTTGCTGGGTCAAAATCTAATCTTTCCCCCCTTTTTTTTTCTCCAGCAGCTGAACAAGCTTGAACTAAAACAGTAACTCTACACATGGGAGGAAGGAAAATAAGAAGGGGTAAGAATATTTTCAATTCCCAGCTTCTGAGCTCCTTTTCGATACACACGACAGAAGCAAGAATTGGACTAATTTTTGCTGTTGAAAGGGAAGTCTTTTGTCAATGTCCTTGTCAACAATGAGGACTCTAACATGCCTGACAGAAACAATTAGTATTTGAATAAGACAATGTCCTGTCATGATAATTGTCCTGTTGTGTGGCCTGCTAAATGGAGGATTAAAAACCCTTTTGTGAATGTATTGGTAATAACAGATTTCTGAGCTTTTTGCACACTTAAAAAAACTGCTTTTGTTTTTGTTTAGCTTTTCAGTCAGGTGTTAAGTTGTAATGTATCTGTAATTACAGAAGAGGGAGTGGTACAAAAACACACAGTGAAGAGTCAAGATTAAGTGCTGGAAAAAGAAAGAAAAGAGAACATACCCTAAACTTTGTTTGCCTTACCAATAGGAGATTTCATGAAGAGCTTCGTCTTCTTTTTTCTACCATCTGTGACAGTCTTGAGTCAGATGCCGTCTTTGACCATAAAATTAAGCCAGTGCCAATTTAGCAGCAGAGTTGTTTTCAGGAGCACCTAAGTGTATGCACCAGAAATAGGAAACATTTCTCCTATTTAGAACTACAGTTTGCTGAATACCCCAACCAACTGCAGTATTCAGTTTTGCAATACAAAAATCCAGTCTCTGGTGTGTGCTCCGTAGACAGGAATTATCAAGAACGTTCACTGCTAAAGTACCAAAGCAGGCCTTTCCACCTGAGACAGTTGTGTGGCTGGCCATCTTAGTTCTGTGAAGCAAAAGGGTTCACTATTACTGGGGTAATACTGAGGTTGCTCTCATTGGTACCATTGCCCTTTGCTAGTTCAGTACTCATTGCTCCATTTAGCTCTCATTCCTGTCCCCCACTCAGTCTAAATTACCTGTGATAATCTCTATTCCTGGGTGTAGAGTATCCTGAATAACATGATCCTGTAATTCTTCACTGCTTATACTTCTGAAAGTAGAAATATATTCATTTGAGTCTGACTGCCAGTTTTGACCCTTTCTAATAAAATCTAGATTTAAAGCTTTCAGAAAACAGAGGAATCAAGCGTGACAGATCCCACGAAGCACTGAACTCTTAAGCTGGCTTCTGTGCAGCTGCCTCTGATCATATACACCATGGGCCGAAATAGGACTTTCACGAGGCTTTCGGTATTCAGTTGCATCAATAAACTGAAAACCTGGCTTGCTATATCCAGATATAATTTCCATTGGAAAGTTCTCTGGAGGGAGTTACTGTACACCATAATTCTGGAGTGACCAAAACAGGCTATTAAAAATGCAGATTCAGGCTGGATATTGTTCCCCCTCCCCTTTACATGCTCCTGTCTTTCAAATCCCCCCAATCCTGGCTATTCTCCATCAGCAGGCTGTTCTCCATCAGCAGGATACAACTTCAATGGTGTAGAGGTCCATCTGGAAGCAGCGCCCCTCATGATAATCACCATCGTCGGGTCCTTCTGGGAAAGTCAAAAAATGCAGGCGATCGGTCCATATTAACAAATGAGGATCAGGTCTTCTGTTAAGCTGCTGCCTCTTCAGTACCAAACCCACTGCCAAGTATTTCGCATTACAGCAATGCCAGCTTGCAATGATTTCCTAGGAAAACCCATTTCTCTCATAGCTGTTCTGTAGATTGCCACGGAGCTTAGGACAGGGAAGCCTTGGGTATGGTGAATAATGTCAGCAAGTCCCAGTGCTTCAACGGTGAGAGCTTTGGCTCTACCGTACAGCATTTGTATCGGTCATATGGAAAATACCAGTATTAGGAATAAGTTTCTGTAGTGATAACAGTGTTGTCACTCTTGCACTAGAATTGCCAGCCACTGTGGATCCAAGGCTGTTGCTTTGAAACTTTAAATGCACACTCTGGAAAAAAAATGCAATTAATCAATGCTGACTACTGTGGTGTATTCGAGTAGAACAGAGACATATTTATATGACTTTGGTGTGTTGTGCAGCCCAGCACAAATGCAGACATGGCTGTGATTCATATGTCCATTTGATTCCAGTAGTTTGCTCTTGATGTCACTTAGTTTGGATCCAACTCAATATTGCCCTTGTTTTTGCTTCCATTTGTGTTGTGAACTGCACAGAGCTCTTTCTCACCCAAGCCACCTTGAGTTCTGTAGACGCAGTATGGGATGAGTCTGAATGACTGTATACTGCTTCCAGGAACAATTCCCTGTTCTGGGGCAGGAGGACAGCTGGAGGGGTATATTGCCTTCAAATCCAGCTCATGGGCTTTTTATTGGGAAACAGGATATGGCATTAGCCAGGCCAGGCGTGGGTATGTTACATTCCTCCAGATGTTGTCAGACTGCAGCACTCCTGGTGGTGAGAGATCATGTGAGTTGCAGTCCGAAAACATCTAGAAGACTACACATCCCTCAGAAAGGCCTTAAATGTGATCTAACAGGATTCTTACTTTCTTAACTATCCTAGTGCTCGATACAACTGCAATAATTATATTCTTCAACAATAATTAATTAATTAATTAATTAAAAATGGCCACAATTATTGACTGAAGAGGGGGCAATTCATGAGCAAAGAACCTGTTGACCTGAGTGAGAAAGGCATAAGGATGTTGTTAGTGCTTTTTTTTGCATAGATTTGTTCTTTTCAGTGGCACTTCCACCTTCAGCTTTTTTCACAGTTTGTAAAGGCAGAATCAGTTGATGGCATGCAATGGAAATGACGTGTATTTGTATTTTTATATTTGCACTCTTTTAGAAAAAAAATATGCATGACAATGAACGCTCTCTGAAAACTCCACATAATATAGATAACACTACTCTCCGTCTTAAATGTTTAAAAAGTTTACATGACGTTCATTTTAAAACTCTTAGGCATGCAAGGTTGAATAATGGTGTATATTAGGACTTGGGCATGCATAACAAGAAGCTAAAACATGCAAGATGATGATAATGGAAGAAAGCAGAAGAACTGTACATCTGATCAACAGTCTTGTATAAAACAAGCATCATTTGACACAAGTGCTCACAGACTGCAGCCGAGCTCCATAGATAAAGTGTGCTGCAGTCCATGACAGGTTACGCCAAAGAAAACTTACTATTCTTTAAGATGCCACAAAATCCTTTGTAGGTTTTGGTGCAAGAGACAAACACAGGTACTCCCGCTTGAAATGTGCACATCTGATCAGATCAATTCATCACGGATTGTAGTGGGTTGTCATTTCCAATTGAATGTACTTGTGGTGCATGTTTACAAAACCTGTTGCAGATAACTTTACATACAAGTCACTGGAATAATTTTTAAAGTAAAATTGACAAGTGGCAAAATGTGTGTGATCTTTTTTTAACCCCTCTCTGACTGCACTTTTCTTAATAAAAATGCTTTACCTTGTCACAATGCAACCTAAACCTTGGTTACGTAACTTCTGTATCCCTAGGTAAAGGTAAAGTTCCCCTTGACATTTAGTCCAGTTGTGTCCGACTCTAGGGGGCGGTGCTCATCCCCATTTCCAAGCCATGGAGTCAGCGTTTGTCCGTAGACAGTTTCCACGGTCACGTGACTAGCACGACTAGACACGGAGCACTGTTTACCTTCCCACCGTGATGGTATCTATTTATCTCCTCGCTCATTTATATGCTTTCGAACTGCTAGGTTGGCAGGAGCTGGGACAAAGTGACGGGAGCTCACTCCATTGTGTGGATTTGATCTTACGACGGCTGGTCGTAAGCCAGAGGCTTCTGCAGTTTAACTTGCAGCGCCACCACATCCCTTCTGTATCCCTAACATGGCTCAAATAATATGTGGATCTTTTCCCCTCTAAACTAGCAGTGAAGAACTTCAGGATGTTTTTGGACTGCACTTCCCTTGGCCATGATATAGTGAGGCTGCTAAGAATTGTTGGTCAAAAGATAGGGAGCACTCAAGATTCCACATCTCTGGGCTTCAGTGCTAGAGCAGGTCTACAAATACATCATGGCACCTGATTTACCAGTTTATACTCTAGACTGATAAAAAAATCAGTGATACTGTGTATATATTTTGTTTGATCCAAAAAAGTCCTACTTGTCTCATCAAGGTGTAGAAGTGATCCTAAGCTCATGAAGCCTGTAACAGCAGAATGTAAACCCTGGCAGGTTCTACCAAGCTAAGTAAGGCTTTCTGTACAGCCTCTGAGACCCAAGTGTATTATCTGCTGTCAGGAGACCAGGCTGTCTAGGTTTGGAGAGGCTTGTCAACAGAAAGTTGGCTGCCTAGCGACTAAGAGCACAATGGTAACATGGAATAGTTGAAGGCAACAGCAAAGGGGTTCCCCATGCCATTACCAATGAAACCACACATCTTTAAGGTGTCTGACCTATTTTCCAAGAACTTAAAAGCAACCAGAGGCTTCTGCTGTGTGTGTGTGTGTGTGAGAGAGAGAGAGAGAGAGAGAAAGAGAGACAGAGAGAAAGAGAGACCTATTTTTTAGTCATAAAAGTCATGCAAGATAGACCAGGCTAAAAGAGAGAGTGTGACTGGCCCAGGGTCACCCAGTGAGCTCCATAGCTGAGCGGGGATTTGTAAGTCCAAACCCTGCTCTAATGAATTCTAATTACGTGCTGTCAAGTCAATGCCAATTTATTGTGACCCTTTCCAGGGCTTTCTAGACAGAGAACACTCAGAAGTGGCTTACCATTCCCTTCTTCTGGGGGCATCCCACAGGCTGGCTGTTCTCCAAGGGAGGTACAGTGGGAAATCAGACTCCCAACCTCTGGCTCTGCAGCCAGATACCTAAAACGCTGAACTATCTGGCAGGCCCTGACTACATCAGCTTTCACTGTAATAAACTGGAGAGCAACTGGCTGCAATTTCAAAAAGGATAAGGTGGGGTCTGTATGTTAGATGTGGCTTTTCCCATTGTTTTGCAAAGAAAAGCCGGCTCCTTTCATTTTTAATTCCCAATATTATGCGATGAGGATCCCAGTGGTGCACTCAACAGGCTGTATACGAGTATAAAAGGGCTCATTAAATGACAACCATTACATAAAAGCAAATCCCATTTAAATCAGTATTTAATACCCTGTCTCCTCGAAAATAAGACCTAGTCTGAAAACAAGCCCTAGTATGATTTTTCAGGATGCTTGTAATATAAGCCCTACCCCAAAAAATAAGCCCCAATTTAGTGAAACCCCACCTTCCACCCTTGTGCAGCAACCAGAAGAAGATGACATGACTGTATTTGAATAAATTGTCCTTGAAAAAAATAAAACATCCCCTGAAAATAAGCCCTAATACATTTTTGGAGCAAAAATTAATACAACACCCAGTCTTATTTTTGGGGATACAGGGTATCAGGATTCCAACTTCACAATTGTTTAACATTCCAGTCCTTCTATTCAGCTGCCTGTAATTAGTCTTTTCTTTGATGCAAACTCCTAATCCCTTGTGGGGTTGGTGTGTACATTCTATAGTTATGGCATTAACCCAAGGGATAATTGCTCCTGGTTCCTATAGATTTTTATTTAATCCTATTGAATTATCCCTAGCCATTGCCTTCAGGTGAATTGGCAGCTATTTACATAGTAGTCTACCAATTTTCTCTCAGTACAACAAAGCAAGACATGAAATATATGTGCACTAGCTTGTCTTTGCTTAAAGCCCCCAGATCAAATTTCTCTCTCTCTCTTTTTTTAATATGGGAGTTTAGATGTGGGGGCAATAAAGGTCAGCTTTCGATGTGGTTTGATAATCTCAAGCATGAATACTCACAAATAATAACTTTTTAAAAAGACCAAGGCCTTTAACATCGCTTTGCATCAGCATGTTTGTACAAGAAAAGCTATCAGAGGAAATGCAAGGGTGTGGCTGAAGCTGTAAACTGCTTATTTTGGAATACTCCTTATCACAGCCATGCCACTTGGCATGTGCAATGCTCAGCTTGATGTATGTTTTGTACATACATATGCTCAAGATGACCATACGCCATGTAAGTCCTCTCTTTCTCTTTTGGACTTTTTTTCCGCTAACCTTTTGTATCATCCAGTCTGATGATGAATTCTGGGGAGACAGAAAATCCACATACTTTTGTTGCATTTTGGTAGATGCTCAGTAATATCATGTGCCCTTTTTTGTGGAAGACAGGGCTCCCTTTCCAGGTATCTTCTTGTTTGAACTGTTCATTCTACTATAAATAGAAAGAACAAGCATCTTACAATTGCTTACCAGCTGTTAGCACCTAGACCCCAGATCCCACAGGAACAGAACACTAGGGACAAAAATGTGGTTTCGTTCAAATTATAAACCTAATTTCTAATTTTCCATCTGTACTTATAAATGTCTACATGCTATATGCCATATCCTCTTTTGTTCTTTTTGGTGAGAGGTGGGGCTTGTGAAAACGGAGGTGCGTGTCCTAATAAAAATATTACTCAACTGTGGATTTTGTTTTTGGCCTTTCTTGGGATAGCATCACTAAAGAGAAATGCCCCTTGTAGGTTCAGATTTCAAACAAGCTGGAGCAGCATTCATACATGAACACCTGGGAATTTCAGTTCACCTTCAAATGATACTGTTCTGTTTATAAGGACAAAGTTACTCAGGGTCAGCCATTTTTGCTAAAGTTAAGTGTACTGATTTCTTGCCAGACACACTGTTCGCATTCTGCCAGAGAGTGTCTGAGGAGAGCAATATATGCTCTCTGAGAACGATCTTGATCAGCCATTCTCAACAGGGACCATATGGCCCCCTGAGGCCCTGGCATAGCTGAAGCGGGCCACAGACTGAACATTTTTCTATTCTATTTTTCTATTCATTTGTTTGTGTTGTATTCTCATTTGACAGGGGGCCCTGGAACCTGAGAAGAGCTCCTAAAAGGGCCATAGCTGGGGGAAAAAGGTTGAGAATGGCCATTTTCAGCCTCAGATAGGAATCTATTTGACATTTAGAAAGAATTGGAAATAAGGGCATTAATGCTATTTTACGCTTCTTTATACAGGTGTGTAAATATATATAATTGACTCTGTTAACATTTTCTTAAATCAATGGCCAGAACTCTATTGTAGATTTCTGCCAGCATAAGTATAATGCTGTAAAATGTTGCAGCAAACTGCCATTAATTAATGTGCTGTTGTTTGCATTCCTAATTACATATCAGCCCCACAGCTAGGAATGTGTGGGGCAACTCATTAATTAATGGTGATTCACCATTGTGATTTATGCCCTTACCCTTATAAAGGCATAAATGCACACTAGGTGTCTCGTTGATACTGTATTATCAGTTAGTTACCCTATGTTGTTCAATGTTCCAGCCAAATCGTAAAAGCTTTTCCAAGGTAAGTGGCAACACTTACGTAATAGAACAGAGAATAGACATAAAAATCAGCTGACCATGCAGGCGACACAGAGAGGTGTCAGCCTCCTTGTTTGTAAACAGAGGAGTTGTTTAGAGATTGGTTCAACCTGAGTTGCAGGATCAGCCTTATGATAAGGCAGAATGATTCAAGAGGGTTTTGAGGGGGCAGGATAACAGCATTGTGTGCTATGTGATTCTGCCATGTAGCTACTATGTTAGCCTCCTCTCTTCAGGTTTAGTGGAAGAAGCTGCCTCATCACCCCTGTCGTTGAATTCAGTTCCCATACTGGGCAGTATTGGCACAGATATGGGAGGCACAATCTTGTCCTTTGGTTCAGGCAGCAAAATGCTTTGAACTGTGGTGGGTTTGAGTGTGTCATTTGCTGGGTCTTATTGTATGTGCAAGTGCGCTATTGCTCCACAGCGATTCCCAGAATGACAAGCAATTTGATCTCTCCACCACAATCAATAAATGGACTACTATAGGAAAAGGACAGAATCTAACAGAATGAGTTAGATTATTGTCCAGAATCTAACTCATTCTCCTAATTTGGTCCTAGTCATGGCATGGCCATCCAAAGATATTTCTCTGCTTGAGACAAGTGACAAATGCCACCCTTTCCACTCAATATACAAAAGCCTATTAGACTGCCAGCTGAATCTTGCTTCAGCAGGGGCATTGGGATGAGATCTAATGCTTAGAAGTAACTAGCTTCAAGCAATGTAGTTGGCTATAGTTACTTTTGGTGAAAAATTTAACTAGTAGTTCCATTACACTGGAATATAGAAATAATATCCATTTACTTTCAAAAGTTACTTTTAAAAGACTTTAGAAGCACTTTGAAGGGATTTTTCTAAGCTTTACACCATTTTCTTATCAGTCCCAAATAGTGAGGGATTTTGCACACCTTTTCTAAATATTTTATAAATACTTTCAGGATGCAATACCAGAATTGGTCATTAAAGGGAAACAGACAGTGTTTCCCAATATTTTTCTGCAACTGGTTCATAAAATATAATGCAGTACACTCTTGGCCTCACTGACACAAAGGTTTCCTTTAAAAATGT